TGATATAAGAAGACAACCAGGTCAAGTCAGCTCTATTTTGGCTCTTTGTATTCGTCTTTCATTCATAATGCATCTCCCACAGGAAGCTCCTCAAACACCAAAAAACACTGCAGACGTCTCACTCACAAGGTCATCTGTGTTTATATTGCTCCATTGTTAATATTTTGGTTTGAATCAATCTGTTGTTTTAACAAAGCTCTGACCCAAGCTCTGGTAAATAAATGGTCTTTTAGATCTTCTATAGTTTCAATGACACATAAAGGAGTCCTAAATGTTCAGATGGAATAACTAATAAATTATATGAATGATAGATTTGTTTTCATATTTTTAACACAGTAGTTTCAGTAGTGCTATGTTTGTTGAATTTTATATCTACACTATGATTTTCTATTTTATGTTGTTGAATCTGACCACGTTATACGTTGGTAGGTGAGTGGACACACCTCGAACTTGGAAGTCATACATCAGGTCATTTAAATTGCATTTTAGCACCCCCTTCAGGATGGGAATAGAAGGCAGCGATACCTTTAATAACTACAGTACGTTTGAATTCTACCTCCTTATGTTTTTCAGGCTCTCCTGAGGGGAATTAACCATCGAGGAAAATCACACCACTTTTCACACTATTCACACACCTATGATCAATTCAGAGTGAACCAATAATCTATATATGTGTTGTTGAATTACAGGAGGACACTGAAGTACATAAAAAACACATTTTTGGAAATCTCCATATGGAAGGACCGTCGCTTTCCTGATGTAAGGCAAGTCCACTAACCACTCCTGCACTGTGTGACCAGTAACTATAATTTAACATACCTGATTCTATGACCGAGATAAAAAGGTTCTGCCTGGTTGTAACAAATGCTACAAGGATTTAAAAAAATAATACACACACACACCGAGAGAGAGAGAGAGAGAGAGAGAGAGAGACAGACTAACATCACATACCGACCACAAAGTCATTGACCACATCTTTGACCAGGTGCCCCACTATCGCGTACGCCACTGCTACCACCACCAGCGCTGCCATGACCAGGTAAAGAACGGCTTTAGGCAGAGGCATGGAGTCCCTCACAGGTGTCCTGTAGTCTGTGTACAGCAGGTCACTCTCTGAGTAAGAATACTGGAAGACGTGCTCCATTCCGGAGGTATGGTTGGAGTTGAGCGGCGGTTTACTGGCGCTCATGGCGCTGTCCGGCTGCAGAGCTGTGACCATGGTGCTGGTCACAGCCTCCGCTTTCACCAAGCCCGTTGTTTTGTTCATCAGAGGCAAAATCTGAGAGAGGAAATAGCTCCAGTCCTTTATGGCACTGGTGTTGCACGAAAACATGGTTTTTGTTTTCGTGTAATCACCGAACAAGTGAGTGAATTCGCGCGACCACGGAGGCGCAAGAAATCCACACACATTCGAAGACACGAGAATCTTAGATCGCGACGTCCATTATAATCCTGTATTTTTTCAAGAATCCAGAATCGCCACAGTCTGCGTCCGACACAAGCATCTGAAAACTTACCTCGCTGTCACACGCACGTAAGCGGGACGCACGGCTTTTACGCACAAATCCAAAAGACACCGCGTGTGTTCACTCGTATCCAGAAGAGAAGCAAACCCAGAAAATCAAGTTCGAAAATCCAAAGTTCCAAGTGAGGAAGCGACCATATTATTATCTCCACTGACCTCCAAAACAATCAGCTGCAGACATATCCTGGAAAAAACAGGACTCCAAAACCTGGTACTTACAGGGGGATATTACGCATCAAATTCTATGCCTTGTGTCTGGTGAAGGCAGCGTGCACACAGAGACGTCTTTCGGGTCTGCAGGAAAAGTCAGGACACCACCGGCATATACCGCCCGACCCTCCCCCCTCCTCCCACCGTACCCCAGCAGCCCGGAAGATCTATAAACCTCGGCTCCCTCCATGTGTCCCATTGTAAGGACAAAATACTGTAAAGACAACAGTGTAGTGATTATTATTATTATTATTATTATTATTATTATTATTATTATTATTATTATTAATGCGGTTTTCTTTGTCTACAGACAACTATAAATCCAGGGGAATTTGTGCTCTGGTGAAGCGGCATTCTCCATCTCTACGCAGGTGAGGTCCAAACGTTGGTTCAGGGGCCCATTGTGCAGGTTTTATGTGGCCCTGGATTTCTTTCTTATTATCATTTGTTATACTCTGACATCAGTTTAAAAATGTATCTTTTTTTTATTCTTAAATGTTTTGCTCAACCACTAGCCGTCCGTATGCAAGCATTGTACAAAGGTGAAGCCAAAACTTTATCTTTATTCACTGTGTATAATAAAAGTAGTACAGAAGTCAACCAGTGGATCTCTCTAAGCCAAAACTATCGATTTTCCCCAAGCGATTTTGTAACAATGGTAAAAACAATTGTGATTCTCATCATCTTAGACATTTCATCAGCATTTGCCAAAGAAAATAGAAACATTTTACAGTTTAGCACAAGCTAACTGCTCATTCACTTTCTCATTTCCTCCTTACTCCTCTATACATCTGAAGTCTGAGTATTTTCTGGCTTCTTCTTTTTTTTCCTGAAAAGATGAACCAGACTCAATTAAGATCCCATCAGCCTCTCTGAGATCAGCTCAGAGAAACTGTATTGACTCGCTGGCCCTTGAATCAATCATGGTATCCTTTGAGTCGCTCTGGACGCCTTCAGGGACCCAGGTGTCAGACATGGAGTGGACTTATCTTGATTTTTTTAAATAGCAATGTTACAGTTTTACACACGTGTCCAGGGTCAAATTGTTTGTCTGTAGGTAGTAGGTGCACAGTAATATGACTAATTTTAAACAGTGATAAATTATGTTTTTTCTATTCATTAGGAAGTTCACTGTAACATCTGCTACTTTGTTAGTTTTGCTTTTGCAGAGTTCTGTTCTTTCTTTTACATCTAGTGTTTCTCCAGGCTTCCAGCTTTAAGTTGGTACAAACATCAATGTCCAAAATCCAACCTTCATTGAACCCATCTGTCTCTTTGACTGCACCTTTTTACCAGTGCTTTAGTTTCCTACGATAAAAAGTCTGCCTAAAACGTAGTTATAATACTGTTAGTATTTTTACTTTAATGGATATCATATCTGGACCTGTTCTGAACACAGTGAAGATATAAAAAGGCAGAAAATAAATTGCCCTGCTCCTTGCTCTCAAACATTCTTAATCACTATTCACTCTGGTCTGGTCTTTTGTCATGGCCTGAAATTAGTGTTGTTATGAGTAGGGAGTGTCTTGCATATTTATGAGCACTCGAGGCTACATTACTGTCATGGATAATGAGGTTTGGGTTGCTGTGTCTTATGTTTTACGCAGAGTCATCCTGGTCATGGCATTTGATGACATCTGGACAATATTTACAGCTGAAATTCACAATTTGAAGGTAGATCATACATTTTAATGTTGTAAAAGTTTTTCTTATTTATTATACAGTTATGTACAGCCAGCTTTAATATGTTTTTTGTTTTGTTTTTTTAACTGCAGAAAAGAGAACCTGATGACTCTGTGGACACTGACGTCTTACAGGTAACGTAGTCCCTGCCTACTTATCAGTGTGTTAAGTCACCAGAGCTATTCTAGTGTGATTCTTCTCTGGGAATATAAGAATGGTTTATGTAAAATAGTCAGGTTTTTCCTGTGTGCCCCTGTGGAGCTACCTGTACGCCTGTGTCCTGTGTGCTCAGAACAATTAACATGAGTCTACAAGTCTTTAAATTAATGTTGAGGAACAAACCTGTGATGAGTTATTACTTTACTAATGCAGTAATCCAAAGGAAATATATTTCATAGCTGCTCACATATAATTAGGGCCTCATAAAAGATCTGTGGAGGAGGCGGTTTGTTGAAAGAATTAATGAAAAGTTCTTAATCTCTGTCTCGTCGTCCATGTGCTGAATACATTAAACACTTACAACAATCCCACAATATTTTATGTCTCTCCCAGTTACTATTTCCAATTGGTCATGACTGATGGGCAGACACATATTTTGAATTGTACTTGAATTTTTATGTGCTGTAGTTTTATTCTTCAAAGTGTAAGTTTTTAATTTATAAACATTTAAACAGCTTCTAAGACACATTGTCTAATTAATCTAATTAATCACATCTAATTAAATAAGAAGCTGCCACTGTCTGAAGCCAAAAAAAGAAATCTTTACATATAATTTTTTAGGAGAAATGTCCAAAGACGAGGCATAGCAGCAGTTTTTTTTTTTGTTATCATACATTATTATTTTTTAAATTCAACTGGTATTCCAACCTTTTGACAAAACCCCATAAAGTTAGACCTAATAGATGAATGGGGGCTTAGGATTCATGTCAATATATTTAACCTACTTCCCTGGTGTTCAGATTTGGGTTTAATGTAAAAAAAAGAGAATGCAAACGGAAAAATAAAGCACATCATTGAGGTAATCAACCATTTTACTGTTAATCATGGGATGGCAGCAGCAGTAGTAGCAGCGGCAGCAGCCATCAAGGCTGAGTTGCAGAAAACCCCTTTTTCTCCGTCTGTGTGGCTCCAGCTTATCTGTCTGTCTGATGAATATTAGCCCTATTACTGGACTCATGCACTTTAATCAGATATGACCCGAGTCAGACAAACGCTGGATTCCACCTCCACCCTCCATGCTCTCTCTCCTCTCCTCCATCACACAGTCTGAATTAAACTCGTCTGCGCGTCCATCTTCACTGAAACCGTGAATGAAAAGTCATTTTCTTCCCCTAAAACCATCAAGGACACATTACACACACACACACACACACACACACACACAGTGTCTCTCTCATCATGTCTGGTGCTAATCCTCTGCCATCCTGAGCTGAGTGTCAGGAAATTCACTCTGAGAAGAATCATCTTCTCGCTTCCTATTCTCAGCCTTTTGTCCCTTTTTTCTTGAAATTGAGATTAGTGTAAATCTCTTTTTGTGCCTTTTCCAATTAAAACATTAACCCTTTTCAGCCCCATTGAATAAATCATGTTTGATGCATTAATACAGACTGTAATACAATTGTTTTTTTTGTTCTTTACAAACTACACTGATTTACTGTCACTGCTTGAGGCCAAAGTTTAAACAATCATTTTTACAGTGCTTTTATTATGTTGGTCTTTTGGCATTTATTGCTTATGTGTATAAATGTGCTATGTTTTGGGGGTTACGATATATTATTGTATAGCATCATATATTATTGCATTGCATCATATCGTATTTTATATTATCATATCACATTGTACCGTATCGTCACTCTTTTTACCCTGCAGGGATATTATGCGTTTACTATCTGAAGATAGTTATTAAACTATTAAACTTTGCATTTCTACATTCAAACATATACAAGATGATCTCTCTGATGATCACTAGTAGAGAGCAGGTCTTTGTACAACCTTAGACACGTGCAGTTGTTTTTCATTTTAAATAACGTCTTTTGTTGTTCGTCCCAGATTCATCTGCAATGAAGGATGTCTGTGGAGTCATGTCAGCAGCAGGTCAACCTTCATCCGCTCCTCCATTCTTCCCTGGATATTGTGCAGGTAAATAGGACAATGGGCCATATTGATTTCCTCCAATGAAATGAAATTGGCTTGATGCATTTTAAGGCCTCTATCAAATCTGAGGCAACCTCTTCAGACAGTAGGTCAAAGGGACGCTCGGCTCTTATCTCACACTCACATGGTGGTGTCTGCTGTCTCACAGGTGACATCGAATGCACAAGTAGATGGAGGTAACAGAGAACAATCAGTGTGGCGTTTTTATAATAAATATAATTCACTGTTGTTTGAAAGAAAAGGAAAGAAGGGAGGAGGAAAGGAAGGACGGGAAGGGAGAAAGGAAGTTGGACAGAAAAAAGAAGGAGTGAAAGATTTGACTTTTGGTAGAAAGGAAAAAACAACTTTTGTCACTTTTGGTTTCTTGGGTTAAGGTTAGCTGTGTCTTGTTTTCAGTTAGCTATCATTTCTGCTCAGTCCTTGTCCTTGTCCTTAGGACAAGGTGTTAGGGTCTGTTTGCACTTCCTGTCTTGTGGGTTTAATCAGTGTGATCACACTCACCAGTGTCTCTGTCATTAGTCTCACTGGTGGCACCTGGTGCCCTGGGTTTATATACACCTCTTTTCCTCATTCTGTCTTGGTGGGAATCATTGATCTTGGTTTGTTTGTTTGCTGGTCATCACCATGAGTTTGGAGAAGTCTGTGTCTGGAGTTGATGCCTTGTTCCTGTGAGTTTTTGTTGTTTTTGTACTTAGAATAAACCTGCTGCACCTGAAGAGTGTCTGCCTTCTGCTCCATTTGGTTCCTGCCTGCATCCTACTATGCCAAACAACATTTATGACAATTCCAGTTAATTTTCACCTCTTTAGTTTTGCTTGACTAACTCCTAAATTAAATTAAATTTACCCCTATCTGTCTTTCAGGCAGTTTGTTTGTTGGGTTTTTTTAATTAGTCAAACCTTTAGTTTTATGTTTTATAAATGTAGTCCTACGGCATTTTGAACTAAATTTTTGCAACTTTTATGTTTTTTTGTTTTTACATATTTGAATGGCCTTAATGTTTGGACACTACAGTACCAACACACTAAGTATTTGTGCTCTTTGACTTATCTTTTGTCTTTTGGTATTATTAATCACAAGTCTAATCCAAGTGACAAAAACCTGTGTTGACCCAACATGATCTCTGTCGCCCAAATCTGCAGAGCTGCTTTTATTCCATTTCATATTTAGGTCATCAGAGCTGGTATCTCCCTGCAGCAGGAGATTAATTTAAACCAACATTTCTACTTAATCACTAAATAAAACAAACCAAAAAAAAAAAAAGAGAAAAATGTGGGGCATAAATTTAGTATTGACCTACCTTTAAGAAGTTATCCACAAAGGCAATAAAATGTCAGTGAAAACAGTTGTCAGCTCACAGTGGACTGAAATGAAATCCATTTAGTGGGAGTTCACCACAATGGGTAAATGTTTTAGGTATGGATATAAGTTGGCTTAAATTGAGTCAAATACATTCTACAAAAACTACAGCAGTGACCAACTAGTGGCTCGTGGGCCCATTAAGCCTTTCAAATCATCCAATCTGGCCCATGCCTGCATTCAAAATAAACAAATAACATTGTTAGACCAAAATTTGGTTTTTATTTTATTTTACTTGAGGGTCGGACCTCAAAGTCTTTGTCCGGCGCAGCATTGAGCCAATGTGTTATCAGTAAAACTGTGTAGTGAAATTATGACCAGAACTAAACTATGGGTATATAGTAGATGAAGTAGTATCGACCTGCAGCAGAGCTAATATTCCCCTAATATCGGAGTTGTTTTACAGCTAACACAGCCTGCATTTCCACCTGAAACCATACGATTCTGCTGCTTCTCTTCCTCCTTAAGCTCCCAGTTGGTTTTCCAGCCTGACTAAACTAATTACTTCACTGATGAGCAATAAAGTGATGCAGTCAGAGTGTGAGTCAATGTTGGGATGGTTTTGTCCCAGAGCTGAACCAGAGGTCCAGGACATCTGGAATAGGGAAGTCCCCTCAGAACCGGTTGATGACGCCACCAAATTATTTCTATTAACGCCAGAAGTTTTGCTTTTACCTCCAGTGTATGAGTTACTGCAGTTTAATAGAAGAAGTTTTCTCTATTACATTACATTTAGCAGATGCTTTTTTCTAAGCCGACTTCCAATTTGGATCAGTCAATCAATAATCAAGGAACAGTAAACATACAAAATAAAAAATACATAAATAATAAATAATATAAAAATAATAAATGATAAATGGAAAGGGTCTGGTTAGTGGGTTTGTTAGGATAGGAGAAGCAGGACCCTGCTCTTGAGGCATTAATGGTAATTAAACAATTAAGCATTAGTGGGGGGGCTGGGTATATTTCAGTATTTACTGTAATATCATTCTTGTAGGAGCTGCTAACCCAGTTTTGCTGCATTGTACTGAGGTGTTGTTGAAATTAAGTCAAATCTATTCTATTCTGTTTATACTATTCCATTCCTCTGTGTTTTATTTTATTTTATTGTTTCCTGTATCCTTTTCTTTTATGTTGTCTATTCTATTCTATTTAAACCTAATCATCTCCTTCTTTTCTTCCATCATCCAGATGAACAAAGTATTAGAAATGTTCTTGCCGTCTGGCTGCACATGCTCAGTAGGAGGAGGAAATGATTGACTGATGTGATTTTGGATCTGACCAGTTTGATCCCTGAAAGCCCGGGACCCAACGTTTTTACCACCACATGTTTCTGCATACGTCGACTGTTCAGGGTGGTATGTGTTTCCAGACGTTTCTCTTCTAAGTGCAAGTGAAGGGGCTGCGACCTTTCTGTTGGTCTCAGCTGATTCAAACGTCACTGTGATCAATACCACATTAATGCATTCTCCCTGTGCTCTACCCTCTCCCTGCACGGCAAGGTTACTTGTCTCTTTTGATCACTTCAGCATTAAAATCTCATTTATCTCTTTGTTAATGGAGAGTTTGCCATTTTCTCCTCTTTGTGACAGATATTGAATCAAATACAGTCACAAATCAGCCTGCCAGAGATTCAACATTTACAAAAGTTGACAGAAAAGTTCCAGCTCTCATGTCAAACTGACATTCCCACTCTTTTCAGTGTTTTCAATGACATGGAGTGTTGGGTTTAAGGAGGTTTTCCAAGCTGCTTTGCTGCTTCTTTTCTCAGATTCCCTGGCGAAGACAATTGTTTATTTACAGCTTTTTCTAAATGTGTCAGGAAGACAATATTTGCTGTTTGAAAAATTAATTATCACAAATGGCCAGCTTGAGAAGTCAGGGCTTGTTCAGGGAGCTAGGAGAGGGGGAGCCCACGCTATTATTGGAACAGGACTGGACACTGATATCCATCAGTGTTTTCAGTTTGAATTTGTTTCAGCAGGCAGGAATTTATAAGATTGTCACAAAGGCCTAATTTTGTCTGTCCCACAAACAACTGGACAGGCAGGAAATGATTCCAAATATTGTCCTAGAAGTTAAGACCAAAATGTGATGCTGGGGAAAAAATGCATTCATTGTCTTCACAAAATATTTGATTTGACGAAAAAAATGTTTTCTCAAGTATACTTTTGCCATGTGTTTCTTTAGCTGGAGTAGCTGGCACTAAATCTTTCTAATTCTACTACAAACAATTTTTCACACTTAATTGTTATTTTAGTTCAAGGAGAAATTAATTGACGAAGGCTGTTACGTGACCATTTTAATCTCACAAAGTTTATATTCATGTTGAGGAGAATCTGACCTTGCTGTGACTGTCTTTGTTGTTGTCTGCTGTCATTCACAGAGGCTTTCGTTGAGGTAAATAAGACAAATGCACTTTTTTCTGTCCCACCATTGGAGCAGCATAACAACAGAGGTGGACTTATAGCAGTTTTTTTATTGGAAAGAATCTGATAAAGAAAATAACCTTGAGTCTCTGAGAAAAAATATTTTTTTGTGCTCTAACTTTAGATCATAGTAAAATACTATACCAATAAATCTCTGAAAATAAGTTTCTAAAAATGCACTAATTTGCCTTAAAATACTTAGCTATGTCCATTTCTGTGGTTAAAATTCAGAAAAAATATACTTTTTTGGTGCTCGAACTTTTGATCATAGTAAAAAAATAAAAAGTCCCAGAAATGCCCCAAAAGGCAAATTTATGCCCTAAAACACGCTTCCAAATGAATAATTTGTGCTAAAAACTCAAAAATATATTTTATCTGAATATTTCAAAATATCACCAAAAACATGCCTTACTATAGCCTTACCATCGTGAAAAAATACAAATAAATAAAAAGTCCCAGAAATACCTCAAAATGCACGTTTATGCCCCAAACAATGCTGCCAGGTGAATATTTTGTGGTAAAAACTCAAAAAAATATTTTATATGAATATTTCAAAATATCACTAAAACATGCCTTACCATCGTGGTAAAATCCATAAAAATAAAAAGTCCC